AAACTTGATAAATCAACTGATTTTCCAACCACTCAAATTTGGCTACATTACAAGATAACCTTGCTTCCTGAAAGTAGCCACACCTATGCCTGCAATCTCTAAAATGCAAGTATAAGACAAAGTCCATAAAGACATGTTGTCAAAGCAGGGCAATTATGAAATACTGTCTTGTTAGGCCTTTAATCCTAACACCTGGGAGGCAGAGGCAGGTGGATCTGTGAGTTCGAGGCCAGCCTGGTCTACAGAACTAGTTCCAGGTAGTCAAGGTTACACAAAGAAATCCTGCCCCCAAAAACCCAAATTAAATAAAATGCATCACCAAATAACACTCAAGTAACATACAGACAATAAAAGAACATTCTATAATCACTAAAAGAAACCCTCGACACACTGAGAACTCTGAAGCAGTTTTCCCCAGTGGGTACTATCGGTCACAGAAATGCAATCAGTCACAACCTGCTGCCTGCACTTCTTAACCAAAGTGGCTCATGGCCCACTCCACACAGCGAGTCAGGGCTCTGCAGCCGATGCTGCAGCCCAACACCAGGAGCACCGCAGTGCGACAGCAGCAGCTTAGACTGGCTCAGGGAGACACACCCGATGACATAATCCTCAGACAGGAGGGACTCTAAGACAGTCCTGCGGCCGGGGGGAAATTCCAGCTCCCTCTGATAATAACTTAGGGAAGTCATTACCGGCCAATCAGAGAAACACGTTTGGATCCGTCTTGTTATCTAAATTTCTGGTAAATATAGAAATTAAAGTCTGAATATGTCCATACCCCATTTATATAATGTTATGAGTTTGATAAATTGCCATCAGATAATCTTTTTGCAAAAAGCCAAACTTGATGGCAATCACTTGTGATCTCAGCACTGGGGAGGCAGAGACAGGCGGATCACAAGTTCCAATCAGCTTGGTCTACAGAGTTAGGGACCAGCTCCAGAACTGTGTGCTCCCTTTCTGTCTGTATAAAGACACTTGATTATTAATTGCTAATAACAGGAAGGCTGTGACTGCCTTCAATCTAGAAGGCTATCTACAAACACAACCTACATTTTTCTCTTTTTTTTTTTATTCTAAATTTTTTTCACTTTACATACTAGCCCCAGTTCCCCTCACTTCTGCCCACCTCACCCCCCACCAGCACTCCTCAGGGGGGTAAGGCCTCCCATGAGGAGTCAACAAAGTCTGGTGTACCAAGTTGAGGCAGGACCTAGTCCCACCCCGCTGCACCCAAGCTGAGCAAGGTACCCCACCATACAACCTCCATGTCTTATCAGATGGTCCATTTCAATACATCTGGAATGAGGTTCCTGGTCCCTGTGAGTTCAGGTTAACACACAGTTAACACACAGGTGAGGAATCAAAGCACTGAGCTCAGGAATCACTGAGCTGCTCGCTGTGCTGTGTCACTCGTGGACACTGGCGACTGGCAGTGGCTTTGCATGAGCTCGATTCTACACAGACAACATATCTCAAATTACCAGTGCAAATTAGGAGCTCACTGTGTCTTAATGGAACTCAACTGCTGCGAGAATCGCACTGCCCTCACCTGAGCAGACTTTTCATCCAATGTGGTGACTGGGGAGGTAGGAAAGGAGATAAAGCTTGGTCATTCTCTCCCAACTTTCTGCCAACCACAGAGCAGTTGAAGGCATTCCTGCCCTTCATCCCACAACAACTGACTGGCTACAAGTTCCTGGGTTTATCTTTTACTTTTCTTTTCCCTCTAACATGTCATAGTGGCCACCATCACCACACAAACCCTCTTTTCTCATGCGAATGTCTTAGCTTTATCCCTTTTTCATCTCTGGCACTAAGGACTATGACTTCTCTGCCATGCCTCTCCCTATGCTGGTACCTGGCTAAGAGCTCAGTGAGAAGTCAGGTTTTCTCAACCTGAAACGTTTGCAAACAAACATCCTTTCAAGTTACACCCACCCCACTTACTGACACAAACCTTACTTCATTTAAACAGAAAGTCACTGATGCCTAAGGAACCTAATACTCAATACTTCTTTTCAGGAAATGAGGTCTCCCATAGTCTAGGCAGGCCTTGGATTAGACCCTGAACTTCTGATTCTCCTGGTTCCACCTGCCAAGTGCTGGGATTATGGATAAGTGCTACGAAGTGTTGGGGATTAAATCAAAGGCTAATAAGCATCCTACCAACTGAGATACCTCCCAGTCCCAAGGACTTAGTACTTTTACTGCTAATGTTAACTTAGAAGAAATAATTGATAATAGACTAAAACATGTGTCTTTTAAAATTTTAGTATTAAAAAAAAACTTTAGTATTATCTGTCTCAACCCCCCTCCCCCCGCCCAAAATTTTAATATTGCCTGTGTTTGGGTGTTTTGCCTGAATGAACGTCTGTGTACCACTTGTGTGCCTGCTGCAGACGGAAGCCACAAGAGGCTGTGAGTCCCCATGTGGGTGCTGCCAATCAAGAACAGCCAGTGCGCTTAACCGCTGAGCATCTATCTTCCCAGCATCCAGCACTCCCATCTCAGTAGACACACTCAAGAATTGCAGAGCCCAGTTTTAGAGTCTTTCAAAACTCCTCTACCTTTCATCAAACCCTTCCCCTTCAAGGATCAGGGATCTATTTGAAAGGAGAGGCGGTGGAGACCTCAAGAGAAAGGAATCTTCCCGACACAACAGGATTGATGCAGTATGCACTAACTGAGCCTGTGGAAGGATGCACAAGACCTGCACAGGTTCAAGCCAGACGGGGCTCCAGCACTATGAAAGGGAAGTGGACTCAGGCTCCAGCCCTCATCAAGGACCTGTCTACAATTAACATCTGCTGGCAAAGGGAAAACAAGTTTTCTCCAATGAAGTCTCAATGGGTAATCAACCACTCCTTCAGGGCAGGCCTTATGCCCAGGAGTAGTTGGCCAACAAAGTCAATGGTATTTTTTGTGGACTTTTTGTTTCATTTTACTGTTTTGGCATTTTTTATCTTATTAGTTTTTGCCTGTTTTTTTTTTTGGGGGGGGGGTGGTTGTGGTTTCTTTCATAAAGAGAAACCATGACTCATGTTTTTTGTGTTTGTGTTTAAATCACTGATTTCAATACAGAAACTGCAACAAAGAATATAAAAGAATTAGGGTCAAACTACTCAAAATATTTAAACATATTGGTTAAAAATTATTTTAGTAAAATAATGTTATTTGTCCACCCCCCACAAAAGAGCATGGTTCAGAGATCCCACAGCTCTAATGGGTAGATTCCAGGTATGTTTCAAATTTTCTATATCGTTAACACGTTTTGGGGTTCAAAAGTTGTCGTCCCCCCCTTTTTTTTACACTAGTTATTTCCATGCAGGAATACAAACTCCAAATGTAAAGGAAACAGCCATAAACTACATTAAACTAAACGAGCACCAACAGCACAATGCTTTAAACATTCCTTGTGGATCAAAGAAAAATATTTTGCTATCTTCTAACTTCTGGTGCAAACCAAGTCCACAATGAACATTTTGTAAATAAGAATAGCCTTTACGGGATACAAACTATATGAAAGATACAAACTATCCGAAAGAACGGCAGTGACACCAGTTTTCTAACAGGGAACCACACAGCCTTTGAAATTCTAAGGAACTTGCTAGCAAACATCATTCTCCGGCCATCTTCAATCTCTTAAGTGCCAACTTTAAATTTTACGTGGACAGCACCTCTGGACCCCTAGGGGGATGCCACACCCATTCACCAACATGTGCTCCCCAGTTTCAAACGCTCGAGGAGGAAGGAATCCTGCAAGCAAGCTCCAGATTCCGCATGCATCTAGGGATGATGCTGTGAGTGTCTCCATTGCAGGAGGCAACTGGAGTATGCCAGCTTTTTTGCCTCCTTCCCCAACTAGGTACCCAACATTTTTCAGATCTTTGAAATCAGACTTAAATGTGACACGGCCATCTGTCACTAGGGTCACGCTAATCAAGGATTTCAAGACGTGATCAGCAGAACAAGCAAGGGACAGGAGACCGCTAGGTCCAGCACTAGCTGGCGACCTTGGGGCAGCCACGGGACCCGGGTTCCCGGTTCGTAAGAGGGGGAGATACACCCACTCGGCATCGATGCTGGGAGGCCAAGGGAGGCCAGAGACGCTGGGAGCCCAGGGCCCGCCCGCTGCGGCTCCCTCCACCCCAAGGGTTCCCGAACCCGGGCAGGGGCCAGCACCCCGGCTGCCCTAGACGCTTCATCCATCCCCAGGCGGGCTGGGCTTGGACACGAATCGAAACCGGAAAGCTCAT